GTCTTTATCGATTCCTTCCAGTACCGGTCGTGAGCGGCTAACACCCTGAGTATTGCACCATCTGTTACAACTCTCCCTAACTCTCCAGCTTTCCTGGCTTCGCTTATCTTCAACCTCTCAGCCTCTCTGGTCGTCTCGTACCATGCCCTTATCCGAGACCGCCCTTTGAAAGGTGTCACTTGGAGTACGTATTTTATCCTCCGTCCTCCTTCTATTCCAATCCAAAGTCCTGTTCCCCTAGCCTCACGCAACGCGCGGCGGACACATTCTGCCTCCTCAACTATGCACAGTCTGGTATGGAGCTGGAGTTCTATGATCACTAACACTAATGGTCCGTCCAGTTTCCCTACCACATGTAATGAGTACCGATCCGTCGTGTGTAGTGCAGTCCCGCTCATGTCCTGTCGCTACTTCCCTGCATTACTTTGTCTTCCGTTGTCTCGCTCTCTGCAGATCGCTCACTAGTTTCTTCGCGTGATACGCTTCTAGCCTTTACCCTCTCCAGAAAGTCTGATCTCCACGCCTGGATAATCTCTCTTTCCTCCCTTAACAGATTCTCTAACTCTCTCGTCACGAGTTCAGCCCTACGCAACTTGCCCTCGTCCTGACATGACCAGATCTCTCTTAACTTGTTCCCCAACTTCTTTACCTGGTTCAAGAGTGGTTCTTTAACGCGCTTTCTCACTCTTCCGACTGCCTCACTCTCCTCTTCCATACTCAGTCCAYATCTTTTTCCAGCTCATCCTCTCACCCTCGCTCTAGCCTCCACTACCGTCTCATCGTGGTAGTGCTCCGCGCGCATATAACCATGAGACCATATCATCACATCATAGGAAATCGATATCTGGAAGGTCACTCGCGCCAGTACATCAGCTCTACGCTCGTAGATCAAATCCCTGGCTCGTTGTCTGCACTCCCTCGCTGTCAATTCCTCGTCTACGTACGCTCGGAGAAGTACTGTCACAGTGTATCCTGCTCTTACTTGTTGCTCTCCTACACGCATCACCGTGGCCGTCCTTCCCGGCATTCCCTAAGTTGCGGCCTCGAAGAGAAATCTCACATCCTCTAGCCCCACGTAATTGATCTCTGCCCGTCTCCTGCAGTACCTAATCAGATCGATTGGCCTAAGACAGTCCACCCAGCTAGTAACGTCTATGATGTCGTCAAGCGTCTCTCTACTGGGCGGCCCCCACCTCACACAAATGGCGTAGTATACTTCCTGGAAGCGGGGCGCTAAGCCCTCCCAAAGCGCGTAAAGTGTGTGGTCCACTGCTCTACTCAAATGATCCACGCTCCCATAGGTCTGCCCTATCACGAAGGTAGGAAGTCCGAATCGCCAATCCTCTCTCGGGTAGAGGGTCGGATGTGGTGGACCGTATACCAAGCAGCTCCAACTCGTCCTCCCTCCAGAGAGTCTCACCAGTTGCTGATTAACGATCACTCTGGCCAACGACTCGCTTCTCCACCAACTCCTGCTCGCCCCTGCGAGCGTCAGTCCTATCTCTAAATCATGTGCTCTATCCGCTATCAGATGTCCGACCCCTTCTAGATCATGAGTTCTCTCAGGTCGTTCGTCTCGTAGTATCACTTTCCAAAGGAAGAGCCCCTCTGCGAGCCACAATCCCAAGTATCGTATCGGTATACGCCCTACCTCTTCTAACGCCACAGGAAGTGGTATGTCGTATCCAACCGCCGTCTCTCTGGGTCCCACAAGCTTCCTCACACTATACGATTCAGACTCTCGTGAGAGAACATAAGCTAACCAGGCCACTGAATCACTCCTCATCTCTTCTCCTACTTTCGGTCAGCATCACTCTACTCACTCCGATACACCCCATCTCTCGACCTTGTTAACCCTTCAGACAACTCTCGCACTCAGGTCAAGTATGGTCGAGTAGGTGTTGTGCGCTCTTCCGTCAGGTCCATGGAAGTAGATAGATCTAGCGCCATTCGGCCTTGCGCTACTGCCTCCGGAGACCTAGGCCATCTGGCGTCATCGATCTGAAGCTCTACTCCACTGACCTGCTCTATCATCGATCCGGTCTCCATTATCCGCCGTTATCAGTAGCTAAGCTCACTCAACCGTCGCCCTAATGTGCTCCTCTACCTCCTACGCCCGGACTGCTACTCCTATCCTGGGAAAATGGG